CTATGTCTGTCATTTCTTCTAAGGTTTCAATGTCATCATATCCTCCCTTCAGTTTATCTATAAAACCTAGAGGTCTTATGTCTCTATTTACTAGCTGGAGTGACTTGTCTCTTCTAGAGAGGCTCTTAGATACTTTCATTTTTCTGAGTTTAAAGATCCGGTAGACTCAACTATTCCTGCTGATGATAACACAATTTCTTTGTTATGCTCAACAATATTAATATTATCAATCTTCTTATATAGATAAGTTAACTCATTTTTAATATAATCACTATTTTGGTTGATTCTTCCTAGGGAAACTTTACTTTCGTCTAAAGTCTGTAATGCTAATTCTAATTTATTATTGGTAGTTCAATATTGCTCTTCAAGGTGCTTATGTTCCTTGTGTAGTCTGTCAAATTTTAGTTCTAGATCGTCTTGCCTCTTTCCCCAAGATATGTAAAAGTTATGTATCAAATCACCTATTAAGTTTATCTATCCGTGAGAGATATGCTAAGTATGTTCTTTAGAGCTATTTAGTGTGCACCTTATATTTATATTCTCTTTAGTATTGGCTGTCTTTCCTGTATTAACTTCTAAATTTAAATAATATAACTTTTCAATCATCAACAGATTATAGTAACTCCCTCAAATTCAAAATCTAATAACCAGGCTCCGATACCACTATTACACGATTACGCTAAACTACTGCAACAAACTCGAACTAAAAAATCCAATTTAAAATTCTTGAGTTACTATTCATAGCACTATTCAAATTCAGCGGTTACTATTCAATTTCGTGTCACTATTCAAAATACTCGTTACTATTTAAATTCGAAAATATAAACCGTGCACGAGCACTCACCCGGGAGTGGCTCATGCACTCAAACCCTTCACTATTTAAGGTACTATTCAAGGCACTAGCCTTTGAATTTATAGTGGGTGGATAGTGGATGTAGTATGCGTGCGTGATTAGTATGTGTGTGATTAGTGAATATGCGTATGTGGATTATGTTTCTCAAGATTTTTTGCGAGACCAATGTTTTAGCCGGTCGTGCGACTATGCTTGTGTCAGTCCTACTCGGTACTCACTGTATGCATCGCTAGCTCGCTTGAGAACCAGGTTAACCCAGTCTTCTCCCTTGCTATCCCCAGCCACGCACACACAGGACTCAGGCTCTATCGTCTCCCCAAGCAGTTCCACGCGAAGAGAACACTTATCTGCGCAAATAGGGTTCTCTACAAACGCCGCTATCAGGGCTAACACGAGAACAACACACGCAGGAGTTTCTCCTCTAGGGTCCCTAGCATAGAGACATCGCCCCATATGAACGAGCCTAAAGGATGGCACGGATTAAAACAGGAAAGCCTAGTTCATTTCCACAGAGGAAGCTTACATACGGCTTTTCCTTTCGAAAAAACCCCAAGCACTTAGCACAAATCTTAGGGATTACCTTACAAGCGTAGGAAGATCACGGGGACTTCCTTTATTCTAATTTATAGATAGTGATAGAGTAATACAACGGTAGTAGAGTATTACTATTCGTAGTGGATGATTCTCAGAGTTCTTCCCTAAGGTTTCCTGTTGAAGTTGTGGAGAGGCGTTGGGCGATGGCTCGGAGGACGGCGGACGCCCCCTGCCCGTCCCAGCCGTCGAAGTAGAAGACATTGTCTCTTCTACTGACGGTTCTGGTAATATAAGCCTTTTCCTTCAGCACTCCGAGAATTCGTTCAGCGGCCTTGTATAGTGTTGGGCAAAATATCCTGCATACATATGCACAAATGCGTCAGGCCATCGGGTTACAAGGTGCTCATCACTTGAAATTCAGAAGGAACAAAAATACAAAGAGAGAGATCTTGCTAATTCTGGGTGGTTTACCTCAGTACGCATGATGGATAGGATTGAAGTAACCGGCCGTGCCAGTCAGTTCGGCTTAGCTTTGGTGGATTACTTATCAGGTGTACCAGAACTATATCTTCAACAATTAATAATGCTTCAACCTCCACTTCAGTTTGGAAGGGAATGGTCCATGCACACCGATTCCAACGACCAGACGACCGATCCCGTTTCGGTTATATATGGAATCTAACCCATCGCGATCATTCCATCCGCTGACCTGATCAACACACAAGCATGAAACTACTCACTCAATCCCGAAATATAAGAGATCTTCAGTTTTTCTGTATCAAATTATCTTAAGTTTCTTTGACCAAGTTTGCATAGTAAAATCTTCGCTTCTATTACATAAAAAAGGTAAGATATGAAAATACATTTCATAATAATGTGTCTAAGGAAGCTTAATTATTTGATGTCATATTCTTTTTTTTATAGAATTTTTGTGAAATTTTTGACAATTTGAGTTAGACCAACTAAAAATACATCATATTTAAGGACGGAAGGGGAATTTAAGAACATATAAATTATCTATGTATATGTAGGGTCTCATGCATCGTAAATTTTATGCCACAAACGTGTGATGTATCCACTTCTCCAAATTAGTTGGTTTCCATGATTGGCAAAAGCTACATGCAGCATAGCAGCAGAGACCATCGATGAACTTGAACTTGCGCCGGAAGGGATCTAGTAATTAAATTGCATACCTCGTTTATATTTAATTGGCATGCAGTAGCAGGGCATATATAATTTTTTTTCTCGAATACGCTGCAGAAATTAGTTGTTTTTTTCCTCGAATATAGCAGGAGATATGTAGAAAGCTAAACGGATCAAACTAAAGATTGCATGTAATTTCCAATTAGAGTTTGTTCCCATGATTACGAGCATGTTATTACATACATTGTAGATCCAATAATTAAATTACATACCTCGGTTATGTTGAATTTGCATGCAGCTGCAGGAGATAGAAGCCAAACAGATGGAACCGACGATTGAGCGAGTGTTGTGCTTGTGTGCGTGTGTGAGGACGGGTCTGAGGGAGAGTCTAGAGAGAAGCAAATGTTCATCAGAGATGATTCTTTGCTTATTGGGTGAGAAAAGTAGCTGGTGGTGGTAGTCCACAGAAACTTTGCTTTTTAGCCAAATGTTCGGATAAACTTTTCTTTTGTGTGTCTGTATGCTCATCAGAGATGATTCTTTGCTTATTGGGTGAGAAAAAGAAAACAAAAGACGATTCTTTGCTTGGAACCAGCTAACGGGCCGCTGCAGAATTTTCAAAAGATAAAGATTAATAAAGGCATGCTAGTAATAAGTAGCAAGGCTCCTCTATTCCTCGTTATATATCTGCCTGATCTGGTCCTACAGTATCCTTATTGAGTCAGTACACTATCCTTTTGTTTTGATGCCTTGTGAGGGACTCAAAGTGAACAAAGTTAGGGAATCCAATGTACTCCCTCCATCCAAAAAACTTGATATTCTAGAATTCAAAAAATGTCTCAGAAAACTTGATGTTTTAGCTTTTAGCATCGTTCACCCTCAATAAATAGGGATATATGAGTAATTTATTTTGAGTATTAATCTATCCTAAAAATCCTAAACCATTAAATTTTTTGGATGAAGGGAGTACTAGCTAGATGTAGAATCCGAGCTGCTGTTGTGACTTGTCGTTGCGTTTAACACTGGTCTATTACCAGTTAAAGAATGTTTTGAAGGCTCCACGCTAAATCTCACAAAATAAATCAAATACAAAATAAATTTTAGAAAACTACCACAATAGTTTGGCCAACAAAATAAGATTTCATATTAAATCTCAAGGTCCAGAAACTACCTGTTTGATCAAATAAAGTAAAATAAAAATATCCATTATACTACTTCTGGGCAAAGCCCAAATGGATAGCTTCACTTCAGCTCTTAATTCATTTGGTTATTTATTAGTTTGCGCCCATCTCTTCCGGTTCCATGAAAAGTATTATTAACCCTTTTCAGTTTGTGACATATATTATATATTTTACGGTGCATGTATGCGTAATAAGCCATATCTATATTCCATATTTCTATATCTATATGTATATCTATATCAATATCGATATCTATATACTCTAATAAAGCTAATCCTCACTAGAACATGTTCACGTCATTCCACACTAAGTGCCCCACTAGCTTCCATTGCATGCAAGCTATCCATGTCATCCCTTATCAATTACAAAAATTATCCATGTCATCTTTATTATGTGTAATACTTTTAATCTTTAAGCTATCAACGTGTATCTCTTCAGGTAAGGTGTCCACATCATTCCTTACCAAGTGCCCTACTAGCTTGCAATTCTTTCATGCAAACTATCCATGTCATCCCGTATCAATTACAAAAATTATTCATGTCATCTCTATTATGTGTAATACTTTTAAACTTTAATCTATCAACGTACAAGCCATCTACATATGCTACTTGTTTCATCATCCCATCCTTCCATGATGTGATCTGGGCCCCGTTTGGCAGGGCTTCTTCATTGGCTCCAGGGGCCGTTTGGAGCCGTTTTCTGCCATGCCGGGACGAACACGCCACACCCACGTGGTCTTGTCTTGCGATTATGCACGGGAACCAAGAAACTCTGTAAGACAGATAAGTGGGTTGTAAGCCGGCTAACTACTGTACGAGTGGGCTAATAGATTTCCTATAAGTTTCCATACAGACAGCAGTCAACTATATTATTAGTCTTGCTCGTATAGAGACATTACACGGAGAATGTTTAGCCTGTGAATAAATAATCAATCGTGTAGACTGAATGTTTGGCGTAGATGGTCTCGATATTCGGTCTCACGTGACAGCCTCAAATAGGCGCCGCACATGACGTTTGGCACAGAGCTCGAGGCACCTTCCCCAGTCGCGGCCGCCATGCGGGGACGAACACGCCACGCCCACGCGGTCTTTGTCTTGCGAAGTTCGCCCCCATTTCTTGGTTCCGTGGGGTCGAGCTCTGAGACTGTGACCTCCACTACGCCTCCAGTGTCCAGACCAGCAGCATAAATCTCTCCCCAACCCCAACTGAACCGACGGCTGTGCGGCACTCTGCTGAGCGCTTCTTCTCTTTTCATGTTACATTACACGGACACGGGGAGAGAGAGGGCTATGGAGGGCGCCCAAACCTTGCTGAGCAACGCCGGGCAGCTGCTGAGTTCAGAGTACCAGCAGCTCAGTGGCGTCGGCGGCCAAGCTGTTGAGCTGCGGGACGAGCTAGACGCCATCAATGCTCTCCTCATCATGCAGTCCGAGGCAGAGGATCTGGCCGTGGACCGCTTCCTGCAGGTGTGCATGAGGCAGCTGGGCGAGGTTGCCTACGACGCGGAGGACTGCATCGACCTTTACACCCTGCGCATCAGGTCCCGGCCCACCGACGGCGTGCGCGCCTGGCTGGGACGCCTGCTCGGGACGCTCCCGTCTCGCCGCCGCCTCGCCTGTGAGATCAGAGCCCTTCGCGCCCGCACCCTCGCCATCAGCGAGCGCCAGGTGCGGTTCGGCGTCAACCGTGACGCGCTGCGCCGCTCCCCTCCTCTGCTACCCGCCCCCATGACAGTGTCCGCTCCAGCTAACGACGCCGACCGCCGCCACCGACTGGTCGGCATCGCGGAGCTGGCTGATAAACTGGCTGCACGGCTGAAGGCGCCGGTTGGCGACGAGGGTGAATGCAAGGCCGTTTTCTCCATCGTGGGGTTCGGCGGCCTTGGCAAGACGACGCTGGCCATGGAGGTGTGCCGGCGGCTAGAAGCGGAGTTCCCGTGGCAGGGGATGGTGTCCGTGTCTCAGGCGTTCGAGCCGAGCAGGGACCTCAAGGTGTTGCTCACGAACCTTCTTCGGCAGGTCGTGAAGCCCGAAACAGCTGACGACAGGGGCATCAAGGAAGAGGCTGCCCTGGGTGCAATCGACGACCTGGATGACAACGGGCTAGCCAAAAGACTCGAGGAGCTTCTCGTGGACAAAAGGTACTACTGTACTCCTCTGCTCCAAATTATACGATGTTTTGGCTTTCCAGATACTCCCTCCGTTTTAAATTATAGGTCACTTGGACTTTTATAGTTCATCCATTTTACTATATATCTAGACATTTAAAAAAAACAGTCAAAACGACTTATAATTTGTAACGGAGGAAATACGTAGTTTTTGTTACGTGCGCCTCTAAATTAAAGGAGCTTCCAATTTATACTATCTAATGATAAAAGTGACTTCCCACGGACCATGGTAGTTCTAATGATACCATATTTACACTATCTATTGCTATTATAGTCTTCCTTTGAAAAGTTCACATTAACCCTAATTAGAAGTACAACGCCTGTAATGATTGTCACTATTGGATCTATTCTGTTTTTCTAATTACCACATCTGACATTGTGAAAATAATATAAGGCAAGCCCTTAATCTTTATCCTAACTAACCATGCATCTATTGCACTATGAAAGTATAGGCTCATAAATTTGCATTTAAATCACCGGCCCAACCATTGTTGTAAATAACCTAAAGTAACCTATAGCAATGTCGTTACACTAGTAGAGAACAAATTTTTTCGTTTGGATCGGGTTTTGGCTTTAGTCTCGGCCATATTTGGGCCCGGGACCAAAGAGAGGATTAGTCCTGATTGGGGCAACCAATTGGGACTAAAGTCACATGTCCAACGGCCAGAGCCGTAGGCTTTTACATGAGGGAACCTCTAGTCCAGGTTATAAAAAATAACATAAAGTAATTATTGTCTAAATTTGTATCTACCTACATCTATCATTTATAAAATACCAAAGTACTAATATATGTGCTTATACAATATCCACCTCTGACTTCTTAAATATAGAAACAAACTAACTTAAGTAATACAATCATGATGTCAGTCACCATTCGCACCAAGGTCCCATTTGGTGGAGCTCTGGCCGGCTTGGCTCTAGCTCCTCCTTGGGCCGTGTAGCAAAAAGTTATTTTATCTTTCTTATCAAAATAAACTAAAAACCGTATTTTTTGCTTCACGAGCTCTGGTTTCTCCATGCACTATAGCAAGGAGTTGAAGTCGTGACAAACATGACCTTGTATACATATTTGTATAAGAAACAATGGTCACATATCTATTTCTAGGTCAAGCATATTAGTTGAAACTAAGGTTTTAGCTAAGTATATGTCAAATACACATAGAGACGTGTGGCAATCACTACTATAGTTTGCAACCGCTTCCAATCAAACGCCTCCGTTAATGCAGATTAACGGAGGTGGTTGCTTTTCCCACCTCAGGCGGAATCAATTAACGGACCTCCGTTAATGGTCTCCAGAAAATCCAAAAAACCAAAAAACTTGCAACTTTGGAGAGTTAAACCCACAACTTGGCGCTCAACACTACCACATCTCTACCACTGAACCACACACTAATTCAAGTCTATATATAATATGTTATTATTTTATATCAATATTTTGTAATCTTATATTGAATACTTTGGCTACTAAATGAACTCAAATGGAAAAAAAAATTTAACTACAAAGTTTTAAATCTTGTTAAGTACTACAACTTTGGTGTGGGATGTATCTCCATCAGAGATAGTTTGAAAGTTTTTAAAAGTTGAGTCTCAAAACATGTGAATTTCAAAAACACATATTTGAGACTCTAGATGACTTTAAATAAGAAACTTGTCAATATCAAACATGTAGATTGGGTCGGCCACTAGAACTTTGGTATTAACTATGTGAGCATTTGAGATCGTTTAGGAATTCTAAATTTTAAATTTCAAAATCTATAACATTTGAACACGTATTTGGGACTCTAAATATCTTCAAATTAAAAACTTTTCAACTACAAAGTTGTAGATTCTATTGAGAACTTTAACTTTTGTATAGACTATGTCAACATCCAAGATCGTTTGATAATTTTAAATTTCAAATTTCAAATTTCAAAATCTGTGCATTTACAACAATATTTTGGGACCCTAAACAGTTTCAATTCAAAGACTTTTCAACTACAAAGTTGTAGATCTCGTCGAGAGCTACAATTTTGATATAAAGTTTGCCTTCATCCGAGTTCACATGAAAAAGTTATGAATTATTTTTTTGTTGCAATCATTAATGGAGGCATACATCTTAAGGCACCTGCCTCCGTAAATCGATTTATGGAGGCGGACCCTTAGAACGACAGCCTCCAAAAAAACGACTGCCTCCAAAAATAAACGATTAACGGAGAAAGACGTCTTAAGTTGCCCGCTTCGGTTAATGGATTAACAGAGGCCGATTGTTGAAACTTGCGGTCTCAGACAATGTGGAGGAGGCGGAGGCCTTCGCCCGCCATGTGTTGAGACTTGCGGTCTTAGACAATGTGGAGGAGGTGGAGGCCTCCGCCCGCCAGGCGCTTCCCTCGGGCTGAGGCTCGGGAAACAGACACGACAAGCGGGCGTGTAGGGAAATGACATGTAAAACTAGGGTTTCATTAATTCATTCACCAACCTCCCGTACTGTTACAAGTGTTCCCTATTTATAGGGCTCAACTACCACTTTCACAAAGTTTACAATAGTAACCTTCAACTGCTACAGTACATTCTCAGAATATCCCACTACTCGCCTTTCTTTTCGGGGGTAATCTTGTCTTGCCGCCCTCAGGTACTGGGCCTGCACGATCAGCCGGCCCATCAGGTCTCAGGATTCGGCGATGGGCCTTTGGGCCTCCGCCATCGGTCTCTGCCCCTGGGACGCCGAGGCCGCAGACCCCCGACGCCCAGTATTGTCGTCCTCCTGCTTGGGTCTCTTCCCCTGCGAGCGGAGGTCGAACCGGCGCGCCCGCGCCGTCCACGAGCGCCTTCCTCTGGTTACCTGCACACACACGTAGATAACGTTTGCACTTGATTAGCCTTGCAGCGGGGCGGCCTCCGCCCCCTCCGGTTGGAGACACCTACGAGCTAACCGGGCGGAGGCTGCGCCAGGGTCACCGGCGGCGTCCTGCAAGCAGTCTAAGAAACCATCATCTTTCTGGGTCTGGAGGTGTGGTAGCCGGGCCTTTACTTAGGTAGTCGGTCGGAGACGTCTCTGCGAACTGCTCGCCACGCAGGTCTCCACCACCCTCTGAGGCCGTGTTACAACAGTTCCCCCCTTTTGAGACCACGGTGTGCCCGAGCGTGTCGTGAACTCATAACGCCCTAAGCAAGGACATCCGCGGGGGCGGAGACTGCGCGTAGTCACGTCTCCGACTGATCCCCGTAGGTTCCCCCCTGGCCCGCTCTGGCGTGGCCGCTGGTCTTGTCATAGTAGCCGTTAGGCTGCAAAACTAGCCGTTGTCCTACGCTGTGGCCGTTTACGCCGTATTGCTTTCCGTTGTATAACTTGCGACTTTTTCAGAGATGACCGTTGGGCGGCAGGTGAATTGTCCAGAGATGACCATTGTACGGCGGTAGCCGAACCGCCCGCCCGCGTCCTATATAAGGGCAGGGTTGGTTGTTGGGTCCCCCCTTGCACTGCTCATTCGCTTTCCTTGCCTCTGAGAGATCGCTCTCTGCTCTCTTCGGTTTCGCCTGAGCTGCCTTTGCGTGTTCCGTCTTTCCGCTTGCGTCTTCCACCTAGGCTGCCGCCGTGGTGGCTTCCTTTTCCGCCTCCGCCCATACTCGCCGGCCCACCTTCTTCGGACCCTATCACCAGCTTCTCGGCATTAGGGCTGTCGGCTGGAGTGCGCGCTTTGAGGAGTGCATGCTTGCCTCCGCCTCCGCATTGGAATTTGAAAAGCTAGTGGAGGAGGATTTGGGGAGTGTCTCTGCGTCTGTCGGAGACCTGATCGCTGCGGATTCCAGAGACATGGCGATAAAGTCATGGGATTTCGGCCCCTCCTCCATTACTGAAGAGGCGGTCGCGGAGATGTTGAAGGAATCGTATTTTCCTTCTTTGAGGGTAAAAATCCCTCCGCCTGGCCAGACCGTTCCGGAGCCGGAGGAGGGGTATGCGGTGGTGTTTTAGGATTTTTTCACTTGTGGCCTCCGCCTTCCTTACGTCCCCTTCCTCCACCGGGTGTTGGAGACGTTCAACGTCCAGGTTCACCATCTGACCCCTATGGCCTTCCTTACGCTCAGCAAATTTTGTTGGGCGTGTGTTTCTTATGGTGCCGAGCCGGATGTGGACACCTTCTGTGCATACTACAAGCTGCAGAAGCAACCAAAGAAGAAGAAAGAGGTGCGGGAGGGCAAGGAGGTGGAGGTGACCTACCAGTATGGTAGTTGCACCTTTATGTCGAAGAGGAACTAGGGCGTAGACCGCCTGGAGCTTTCTTTTTGCCAGAAGGGCAAGTGGGACCGCGGCTGGCTTGAGCAGTGGTTCTACGTGAAGACCTACGGGGTCCACGGCACTACCGAGGATGGTGCGGAGGTCGTGGAGTATCCATTGACTTCAAGAATGGAGGAGATGGCGCCGCATACGCTCGTGGATCCGCCAGAGGAAGAGTCTCCGGCGAGGAAGGCTTGCGACCAGGCTTTTGCGGTTGCGTGCCGCTACTCCAGGGGCCGCGACCTGGTGGAGGAGATTATGGCCTCCAACTACTGGCCCCTGGGCAAGGACAACCCGGCCTTTTAGCTGGAAAAGGTGAAGATTCCTGTTTTTGGTCCGGAGGCTGGGATTCCTTTCCCCCGCTTTGGCCGGTCTTTAGGGGAGGGGGTGACGGAGGACAGCTTCGTTGCCGACGTTGAGGAGGCCACCGTCGGGTTGGTTGGCAAAATTTCCGAGCGTGAGTACACGTCTCGGAGAGCCGTGGCAGGCACCATGCCACGGCTCAATCGTGTTTTTGAGGAGCTCGGGATCATCTACCGGGAGCGCGCTATTCCCACCGAGGTCCTAGCTTCAATTGACAAGAAGAAGAAGAAGGCCTTCGTGAAGAATGTTAAGGCGGAGGCCGAGTCCAAGAAGAGGAAGGGCGCCGCTATAACTCAGGCGCCTACGAGAAAGAAGAAAAAGACCGGTGCTCTGGTGATCGCGGTGGCCGCGTCTTCGG